CCTGTTGCTCAGGTGAAAGGTCAGCATCCATGTCTGCGTTGAAGTGCCTGGCCAGTCGCTGGATGATGATGTTGGAGTCTGCAATCTCTGTGCCATTCAGCTCCACAAAGGGCAGCTGCCCATATTTGGACCTCCTACCACTCTTCAAGGCATCAACCAACTAGGGGAGTAATATAAACATCATCAACATGATGATGAACTTTGCTGAACTGTTACATGCTAATATGTGTGGCTTACCGAGTAGCACAACTACAGTTTGCATCTAAAAACCTTACTTTATACCACTGACAATTGTTAATTAAGTATACTAACGTAGGTTCGTTTATGCTACTTAGCTCTTGGTAGAGCTTTCTGACCTCATATTTGACTCCAGCCATTCTCAGCCACGTCTCCACCTTCAGACAGGGCCCACTGATGCTGGGTTGGAACTTGGTGCGATTAAAGCCATACAGGTACACGACATCCTTCTTGTGTTCCTCCTTCTTTCCCTTCTTCCTCCACTTCCTCAGCTGTCTTAAGGTCAGGAGGCCTGCCACAACCACCCCGCAACCTGTGGCTACGCATAGCTGCAGAATGGTGAAGTAATGACTGTTGAACGGACACTCGGCTTCAAGAGGCACTATTTGCGGCGGGTTCAGCATAAATTTTTACCTTAAGAGACCTTAATACTAGTAAGTTACCTTGATAAAATACACAAACCTGCGTAGAATTTGCCCAGTCTGGCCAGCCCATGTTGAATGTAGACAAACTAGACGACTTGCTGGAGTGTCACAGACAACGCCTTGATCACTGGTCCGAAAACCGCGTTACATTATGCTTCCTACTCAAACGTAACAGTTGGTTTGGGCAGACTGGCAGACCCAAAGTTTCCGCCTTTAGATAACCCCTGACCCGCACGCGCATTGGTTGATACCATTTCGCAAGGGGGAAGAAAGGTCGACCGTAAAAACTCAATTCATTTTTGTAGTCATAATATGTGAGAAAGGTGAGGAACTGACCAGGTAAAAATTGGAAGCGTAATAAGAAACTACACGCGATTTCAGGATTTAGTTGTACATCAAGTTTATGTGAATTTCTTAAATTGCCCGAGTTGGTCATCCTTTGACAATGTAACGTACCTTTGTTTCACAAGGAGTCACTACTCAGGCTGACAACATTGTGTACCCCTGTCCATGGATCACATCTCCTATCGTTATAACAATAGATCGTCGATTGACTGTGCAACTTTACTATCCAGGTTTAGTGCCTGTTGCCGTGTGCATACATACTCGCATAGAATTTCTATTGTCTTTTAAATACCGGATCACTAATCGAACAGGTGTTTGCATTGCTCCCTGTACAGAAATGTGCCTGAGTATACAGACGCAGTTCATTAGATAAAGATGTGTATTGTAAGATAATCCGATGTGTAGCGCAATACTTCGGGCGCTGTGCTTTAGCAAGAATGTAACAATCACGTTCAGTACAAAACAAAGAAAAGAAAATACAAATTTCTGTCGGACGGAAAACGCGCTTTAGATCGACTCGATAGCGAAACGAGATCTTGAAAGAGAAGCAGGCTGGAAGATTTCATTCCCCTTTATTCTATTTCTGAGAGATAAATAAGCGAAGAACCAATTCTTATTTTGTATGAATACTTGGTTTTCATATATAAAGACGTGGCGCCCGCGCAGCAACTAGCCTCCAACTTGAGCTGGGACCTGGAAGCACCAGATGACATCTCCGTCCTGATCTTTTAGTTCCCACTCCACCACCAACTTGATCTGAAAAATAGCGGGAAGGACGACAGGATGTTTATTTAGAAAATAGAAGGAAAAGTCTTTACTTGATATCAAATTGCAAGCAGGCGCTTTATATCCAGAACAGGATTTGTGTGTTTATGGTCCCTGGGCAACGGGCACTAGTAATCAGTAGTATAATGATCATGTGAACGTGTGTTCCAACTAGAGCACTGCAAGCCCACTTGTAATGTTGAAGTTGACATACTTCTTACCGACGGGTAAGTCTTTGACACCAAGAGGGAGGAGGTGTAGTTGTAAGTTCCCCCGCCAGCGATGGGACACTTCAGCCCCGAATCCTTACATCCATCGGGGTTTTGGAGAGGATATGGGACCCTGACACCGCTTAAGATGGCGTGCACAACCGCACTAGCCTTCGTTATCTGCTTGTCTGGAAAAAGGAATAATACATAGGTTTTACTTAAATTTACTCAGAATACGCTGATCACTCATCAGTCGCAACAATATTTACATTTTCAACTTGAGACGACGAGGAGTAAGCAACTTTTGTACCCTAAAGTCACTGATATGAAAACGCGTATAGGGCTTAAACGTTTGCTGTACTGATCAAAAATTGCATTAGACAATCTCACTGTAGAACATTATTTCAATAAACTCACACAAAAAGGACATTCTAATGGAATAAGAAGGCAATGTAAATCTCTGAACAACTGACTCGTGGTGAACTCGAGAACCACAGAGACGTTGTGTCCTTTCACCAGCGGGCATGGCTCAGTTTCACATGGCGTGATGTTGATCGAGTTGATTTTAGCCACTTTGGATCCTGTACAGACAGAGATAACGTGTAAGAAGCACCATTCATTGTCGTGCAGATAACTTAAAACAGTCTTTTCAGCCACACTCGTCAAGGAACCCGTTTATCGGCATAGTCCAATAGTATCCAATGACATTGCGCCATTGGCTTACAACTTTACTCAGCCGGAGACAATAGGTGCTGACAACACATGTGCCTCACTAGTATTTCCTACGTTCCTAAGTACACAGAATTAGCAACTAAGAATGTAACACGGGAAGATTGTTGGAGTATCCATATGAAGGCTGGGAAACAAGAGATGACCTTTGCACAACTTGCAAAAGTTCGACAGTCATTCAAAGGGAAAGAAATAATTTGTAGGATTGGAATTTTCTTACATGCGATTGAATGACTCACCACAGTCCTTAAAGACCGGTACGGGGTCTCCTAAAATGACAGAGATTCCCGCACAAAATACGAGGACCAGAACAAGTTTCAGAGCCATGGTGTCCATAACTCTGTCACGGACAGGTCCGAACTATGACCACTCTGTCCAGTCACGGTCTTTTGCACATGCCCACCTGTTGGAGGCACGCCCACTGATCACTTCATCTAGCTACGTATGTGTAGACTTTGTGCCTGTCCCCACGCCTTCTACGTGCGGTCAGAACGTATGCACACATGGGCTTACAGGGGTACTGAACAACAGCGTGTTTGCAATGGTTCCCGTGACTGATATCATGTGATAGGATTGAGAAGTAGGACAATAATAACAAGTGGCATCCCGTCCACTCCACATAGAACAATGCTTCATGCTGTCCTGTTAATTTTCTGACAATATACATAACCCTTTCACATCGATATGTAATACCTTTTCCAACATTTTCATATTGGATTGGTACTGAAAAATAAACTGTTGGTGTGTTGTTCTTGGGACATGTCATAAGACACTTCAGACCACAGTTGGTTTAGTTATTTATTCCAAATGTTGCAAGCATTTGTGATCTGTATGTAATTTTGACAGAACACAGACAACATTCACTGCGATTCTTAACAGTCAAAAATTCTGAAGAAAAGCAAGTTAGAATCATGGTTTCTGAAATGTTTAACATTATTACCTAACCAATATCTTAAACAGAATTTAATATCTGACCCTAAATATTTAATATTACCCTGTAGATCAAACAATGTCCTTAGTCATAATGATTAATGTGCTTTGTAAATCATGTACAGTTCACAAATTTTATCCATGGATTATCCACTCGTACCTATCAATATACAATGGTAGGTCAATTCACTGAAAACTTATTTTATGAGGTGATAACATAATCATTTCTCTCACATCAGCAGAAATGTACATTTAATTCTGAACACAAGTAAGTAATTTTAAGTATGTTAATTGAAATACATTTGTTGTGCTCATGTAAGTTCTCCAACACGGCAGTGGAAACATCCCAGAAATCTTATGTTTTTGCTCATATGTATACTGATGTAGATACTATAAAATATTACACAATGGTCTAAATTATCAACTGTGGATATCCAGAACATGTACATGTCATGATGGCTAGGGTGGGTCTTGGTGATAGGAATTTAAAGCATTAGTATGGATTACAGTAGAGTTTAACTCCAAGAACAACAATTCAGACTACATATTAATGATTTACATTTCTTAATAAGAAAGATGTACGTTCACTGTAGTTAAGACGAACAATGTTCAAAAGTGAAATACTGGAACAGTAACCAGTCAGTAACCAGTACTCATCATATGACACACATCTAATATTTGCACTAGATGGTACAGGGACTGTGCAACAATACCTCTTTTGCACATTGCAGTTTAAATCTGAGTTCTTTCAAAAGTAAGAATTACTTCACATCTTTAGAAGAATATGGCCTGAATTTCTTGTTTTCATAGAAATTAGCCATATAGAGGCTAGTGTGGAAGTCAGTACACAGATTACACGCTTTGACCAATAGGCATGCACATTTTACCTTTCCACTTGTTTGGTGCTACCTGTATGTTTTTTACAGATTGTTCTCTCAAACTTTACACATAGAAAAAGTGGCTTTCATAAAGAGTCAGAACATGGTTGGTGATAACATGTAACCCCTCTTGAGTAACAGCTTCATCATCTGAAGTAAACATGAAGCAAGAGTTGAAAAAGTAACCATTGGCACAAACATTGGCCCCATAATGCACACATGTACAACTACAACATGTACAGTTTAAGACAGCATCACCAAGTTCCAGCATTCTTTTTAACAGGCACTTCATATTGTTGTATCAAAAGCCAAGGTGATTTACTTGTTGAATGAGTTGTAAAAACATCAATAACCAGCTCCTGACAAAAATACCAGAGAGAGAAAAGAAAACAATGAACACATAAAAATAAAGCTCCAAATACACATCTCATATCAAATAATACATTTGTTGACAGCTCCACTGAAAAGGAATCTATACAACATTCCAGTAAATCCAACTATTGATGGGAAACACCACCCAGCTGCAGTATTGTAGTGGAAAATAATTTTGCAAGTGCTTCAAATATTATATACCAAAGAGCACAAATTGGTGCACATCACTGAATCATACGTAAGCTCAAACAATGCTGCATAATATCAGTCTCCTTAGTAGAAGACAGGGAAGAGTCACCCTGTTTTATTTTTTACTTCTTGACAATCTTGACAGGGACCTCAAAGCAGAAAATATCATTCTTCTTCTCATCCTTTAGCTCCCACTTCACCACCAGTTTCAGCTGGAAAAGACGAACAAGGGTATCAGACAATTCATAATGATTCATAATCAGTGGTACAGAATATAGAATTACAGCTGTACAGTTCCTGTTACTAGGACTAGGGAAAATTTAGCCGTGGACGACTCTGGTACCCTTTTTGCATGATAATGCCGGGACAGAGTCGTGGTGCAATGCATAGGCCAAAACCAACCTTTGCCGTGCCGGGCCTCATGCAACGGGCCGGCCCCGGTTTTTTGGTGTCGCTGGCTTCCCGACGCACTCACCTGCCGGGCCGGGGGGATAAGACCCTAAACAAACGTAGCATTTAACCACAACACGGCCTCGGAGCACGTAACTCCATACAAACCATCGGCGATCGGCGCCATTTTGAAGTTAGGAATCGGCCCGCAAAACAGGTCGGACCCTGAGTTTACGACAGATTACGTCATGATACCTGCAGCTTGAACGTTGGGGAGTTGAAAATAACGACGTAATCTGTCGTAAACTCAGGGTCCGACCTGTTTTGCGGGCCGATTCCTAACTTCAAAATGGCGCCGATCGC